ATTTTCAACTCAAAATATCTTCAAAGAAAACCCGTCTGGATAACAGCAGACCGACTGCTGGTAAAATATACGACAGGTCTGGACCACTCGTAAATTTTGTTCGTATCTGAAAAAAATCTTAGAATATGAAAACATTGGTGAATGCCACAAATTCTCCTGAATCACTCGTACGCACAACTTAAGAACAAATCTGTGCGTACGAACGGTTCTTGCATGAGGCCCATTGTCAGTAAGTCCTGCAGCGACCGAGTGAAAAACGCCATTGCTGACACTGTGTTGCCTGCGAACCGGAAGTGTTCGGCGTGGCCAAAAAATGGAGAGGGTCCCAGCTGCGGACCGCGGAATGGGGCGGGGTCTGACAATGGGGGTGTCGGATAACGGGCAGGGTCGGACGTCTGACCCTGCCCTCAACTCTAAAATTCACCGACCACAGATGCTAAATTCTAAAATTAACCACTCCCGAATTTTCAAGCCTCACATCACCAAGTTCCCGACAAGCTGTGACCACATCCATTGGACATCCAACCCCATCTACTGTACAACCCCGCCCCATTCCACGGTCCGTAGGGGAAAAATGCGGAGGTGCTAGAATGGAAGTCCGTGGCATACATGTGGCCCATTCAAGACCTGGATGGAGGAGAATCTTTGTACACAGAAAAGAAAAATCACAAAAGAAAAACATAAAACGTTGTGGATGTAGGATGTGGCTAATTCAGATGAAACATAGCTACCATTAAGAAATTTTCAAGCCAAACTTCTGGGTAAAGTCAGAATTTTGAGCTTAAAAACATAATTATGAGGAAAATGTCTGGATTTTTAGAAATCTCTTTTCAACATGATCCTAATTGCTTTCTGGGAAATGTATTATTATTACTTGTTAAATATCAGTGGTTCTCAACTATTTTCTCTCATGCCCTAGGAAACTTTAATTTTTCACACCCTCTAAATTTAAATACTATTGAGAACCTGAAAATAATTAATTATTCACCTGTATGACTTTCTGGCATGTATAATCACCAGAAAATGGAAGGGGAAACACTGCTTTATAAAAAAAATAATTTTTTTTTTTTATCTTTTAAAGTTGTTTATTTTGCTGCATATAATCATTTCATTTAAAACGGATTTAAAATCTATTTTTATTTTAAATTAAGAAAAACAAAGTTTTTACTTCAAAAAATGTAAGGTAGTGCTCCTTCATCAATATGTTTTTTTATCTTTTGATTTTTTGATTTCTTTTGATAATATGATACAACGAACTGCCATAGTTGGTTTATTATATGACACACATGCCTGCCAAACTTGGTTAATTAAATGACACAAGTAGTTTTGAAAATTTTTCATCACTTTCAAATCTATTTTTGTTTCAAAATTGTTTGTCAGTATCTTTATATTTCAAGTTCCATTTATTTTTCCAGTGTTAAACTATTTTCTTTCAGTTTCAAAATTACTCATTAAAAAATCTAAATGATCTCAGTTTAGCTCCTTAAATTATGTTAATGCTATTTGTCCAAAATGTCTTTATATATATATATATATATATATACATATACTTTCATTTAAAAGTCCTCTTGCAATTGAAATTGTTTGTTACTCTTTGTTTTCTGTTTAATTTCTAATGTGTTGTTTGCTTTTTATTTTTTTACCAAATTGTTTTTTTTTTACCTTCTCTTCTCAGTTTATCAGTTTTATGTTAAATTACAATTACATTTTCTTTTGTTATGAAATTAAATGTGCATTGTAATACCGTATAAAAAACGTTCATAAATATTATAAAAACAAAAAAACATTTGAAAGTTCCTACTCAAAACGGTCTAAAATAGAACCACCAGGGGGCAGTGTGCACCACGAGTTTGAGTTTAGTCTTCCTGTAAAGGCGAAGAAGAAGAAGAAGCGGGCTGAGGCGTCGGTAGCCTGATCAAACAGGAAAAGTGGATCTTCTGAAAGACGATCCGAGGAACCTGAATAATCCAGGTGAGTACAATAATACCTTTATTAATCGTGTTTATGCATAATTAACCCGAAGTGGAAACGTTGTAGAGGTAAGAAACGGTTAGACGAGGTTTTSTCGTTGTAGCGACTGTAATATTTTATTTACCTGTTAGCTGCTCGGTGTTGAGTGAAGAACAAACACTGTAGTTCAGACTGAGTCTGAGATGCTTTGCCAATGGCTGAATACGTCACGTTAGTTTACCAGCTCAGTCTATTGATGTTTTATCTTACATTTTAAACTAACTTCTAGCTAGCTAGTTGTAATAAATCCCTTCTTGTGAGTAAGTAATCTGTTTTCATTACCAAGCAAAATTAGTAATTTTTTTTCTGAAATGTGATTATTACAAATTTTKTTACTTTCTTGACTCTCTTGTTTAACCATGTTGGGCTAATGGTTTAAGGTTACCTTACTTAGTTTATTATCAGTTTACAAGGTCGACTTGACTGAGTTTTGTCAGATTTTTTTTCAACTCTCGGATTGTTAATCTGATGAGTTTAAGCACTTATTGGATGATCAAATTTGAGAAAAAAACCCATTTGCATTGTAATTGTTTAGCAACCCTATAGTTTTACACCAGTTCTGTTATTAATTTGTTCAGATTAGAGCTTTAAAACTAAATTAAAAAATTCTTTAATCTCACCAAAATTATTTTTATTAATGTCARAACTTAAACATTCTAGAAAAGTCTTTCTTTGAATAGGTTTAAAGATGTTAAAAGGTCTTGGTATCAGCAAGTTTTATTTCCATTTCTTTTGTCGAACTAGCCACATTTTATTACCTGTTGTAAAGTTTTCAACTTTGTTGAAGTAAATTATATCATAAAACTTTATGCATTATTCAGCAAAGTTGTATGATTAAATAGAAAAACAAAGTTCACACAAATCCTTTGTGATTTTTTTTTTATCTTGGTTTTTAGTTGGGCTGACTTTGTTGTTTTTCTTTCTTTTTTTGCTGCTTAGCATCTGTGGCCAACATGTTGTCCGAGGGAGGCTCTTTCATGAAGGGGGTGATCCTGGGAGGCGTCTTCTGCTTGGTGCTGTCGCTCCTGAGTAGTTACAGTCCCACCACCGAGTCCAGGACAGAGGACCACCATCATCACCACGTCAAGGCCGCGAGTAAAGACGAGCTCAAGCAGTTCTCCGACATCCAGCTGAAAGAGCTTAACGACCAAGTCCAGGTCTACTGCGTCATCATGGTCGAGCCGAAAAACTTGGTTTATTGGGCCACTGCCGTGGACACCTGGAGCAAGCACTGTGACAAGCCTGTGTTTTACACCTCGGAGTCCTCCAAGGCGTTCGAGGCAGTGGACCTGAATGAAAAGGACAACTGGGCCAGGCTGCGTAAAGCTCTGAAGCACGCCTACGAGAACGCCGGGGACCTGCGCTGGTTCTTCGTGGCGCAGCCTCACACGTTCGCCATCATCGAGAACCTCAAGTACCTGGTGCTCACGAAGGATCCGAACGAACCCTTCTACCTGGGCAAGGCCGTGAAGTCGGGGGAGCTCGCGTACGTGGCGTACGACGGCGGCATCGTCCTGAGCTACGAAGCTCTGACGAGGCTGGTGAAGGTGTTCCAGGACGAGGACAAATGTCCGGCGTCKGGGCGGGCCCTGTGGAAGCTGAGCGACGACAAGCAGCTGGCCGTGTGCCTCAAGTACACCGGGGTGTTCGCGGAGAACGGCGAGGACGCGCGCGGGAAGAGCCTGTTCAACAGCAAGAGCGTGGACAGCCTGATCAAGGAGAGCATGGACAACAACCCCAACGACGTGGTCGAGGGCTGCTGCTCCGACTTGGCGGTCACGTTCGCCGGGATGACCCCAAACCAGATGCAGGTGTTGATGTTTGGAGTTTACCGACTGCGGCCGTACGGACACGACTCTCACGACTTTTTAACGTTTTACCCTCCCGTGGGTTCAGACAACGACTGAAATGGACGCGTTTTTGTCGAGTCTTTGCTTCTATGATGGCAAACCTAACTTTTGGGGGGGAGGGACAAGTTTTTCTTATGCTGTTTGTAAAACTGAGATGCTGAGTGGGAGAGAAAACTTCGATGTACGTTTACACCTTTTGCACTTAACATAATTGGACCTGATAGCTCTGTTCTGTTCGGAAACACAGTTGGTGGGTAAACTGTTCAGAGCTGGGAAATGTGTCACAGTTGTGACAAACAATGTTATCTTAATTAATATTTGGTTATTAAAGGTTTTCTGTAGATTCCAAATGCCACTTGATGAACTATGTTGATATTTTAAATGCGCGGACATCTCTGCCACAATATTTTAAATCCACGATTGAATGATTTTACTGAAGCAACGTTATGATGGAAACACATATTTCATCTTTTGTGTTTCTTTTTTTTTTTCTGAAGAACTGGCTGTGCACACACTACTTGTTTATTCATTGTCAAAGCTAAAGTAAACAATCTCAACGGGAATATATTCCTGTTATACAAATGTGGCTATCAATTTGTCCTCATTCTGGATATAAAATACTAATTTAGAAACTTGATCTGAAGTGGTGCTGTTATAATCCAGCTATTATTTATGATTTAAATGAGGAAATGACACGTTTTTATGTAAAACAAATCGTTTTAAAGAAAATGAAGGGAAACACGAGGATCCCACCCAGGGTTGGAGTCAGGGATGTCCCCCTGGATTTGTTGTCCCTGTAAGCTGATCACAGATAAACATCAAAAAAAGTTGGATGATGTTTTAAGATGTCTAACCTCTAAGATTTCTTAGCAAATATTAGAGATTGAAGCAGGTTTACAGGAGAGGTGTGCAACAAAATTAAGTCGTCGAAGCCCAAATTCTTATTCCATCACATGAAATTTTGAGAAAATAACACAAAGTTGACAATAGGGTTGTCAAAAAAATTAATCACGATTAATTGTGATTTTTAGCCAATAACGATTTATTTGACGATTACTCCCTGGACACACTCATGTCCTGGTCACATGAACAATTTAGTGGGAAATATTTGGTCTCTGTAAAAATCTGTTCCAAACTGTGTCAAAATGACAGACTTCATGTTATACATCAAATTTAAAATTTTGTTGAGAGACCACGTAAAACCTGAGCTATGATAAATAAATTACAGCACTTTTTTCAGAAATGTTCGTCATATTTAAAATGGAGAGGAGCACCAAGCAGACTGACCGGAGAAATCTCCAGTCAGTCTGCCTGGTGGCGTTMATCGCATTAATCGTCAAGTGCCAAAAAATAATCGATTGTTTTTCTGAYGATTAATTGCACACGATACGATTATGCCCAACCCTAGTTGACAATTTGACAGAATTAATAATAGAAAAAACTTCTGTGCAGGTTTTGTGTTGTACTTAGAATTGTGTTTGGAAAAACAAAAACTAAAGCTACTACTGATAAGTTTATTTAAATACTGTTAATCATCTCAAATTAAAAACTATAAAGACCTTATAAAAACAATCCATTGAATGAAGATTTGATTTAGTGCTGGTAGTTTAGTAGTGTTAGGTGAATTTAGTTTGAGAAGCACATCAGAAAAATAGCTTCTGAATGTTTTGAAGCAGCTTAATCGATGAACCGTGTAATTACAGTACGGGTTTACTTTGCTGAAATGCAGATTAACAGGCCTGACAGCTGTTCCACTCGGCACTCCCTCCGTCGTTATCTAAATACGTTCACATCCTGCATCAGAAAGCTGACACGACATTACATCCTTTAGCAAATTTAGCGATAGTGGACATGTCAAAGCCAGATAAACGGGTTGGATTTCCTTTGATTTATATTCCAGAACTAGTAACTGCCACCAGGCAGGCATTTCCAGACAGATACGATACAACAATATGTGGTTTAAAGCATGATCTTTTATTATTTGTGCATTGTGAGGGTCGCCTTCAGCAGGTTACGGCAGCTTCGTGTAAACGGCTGACTGGCAGTTTCTTGCCTCAGCATCAGAGTTTCCGCACGTTATCTTGGTTGGTTTGAGACGAGCGATGTAAATGTCATCATTTATACGTCTTCATGTGCCACAAGCCGTCGTTCAGATAGTGAACGTTCTCTATTCCGATGCCTTTGTTGACTTTTTCTCTGCAAAGCAAAAAGACAAAATAAGATGAAATATTTACATTTTTTTTAAAGGGACAGATTTGCTTTGGTAAAATAGATTTTGGTTTTTAAATCTTACATGTTTTCTGCTGACATCTTCATGACACCAACACAAAGTGCATGCTGCTTTCCCTCTGCCATAATGGCCTGCAGACACTTATTAAAGGCAAACACGCTGGAAATTTGATTAAAACACGAAAGCTAGGTACTAGGGTTGGGCGATGTCGGCAAAAAAATTGAATCATGATTCATTTTGGAATTTATCCGGTAATGACTAATATGAGGATTAACCTGCTGCACGCCTGCATGTCCTAGTCACATGACCGATTTAAATCTCTCTGGTGGAAAAGATAGGCTCTAAGAATCTGTTTCAATTTCAAAAACCTACAGGAAGAAGAAAAAAAGATGTGAAAGTTGAGCAAAATTTGGTGGCGATGGAGAGAAAGCAAGAACTGGACTAAGATTTATATTTGTTGTGTTCAGATTTTATAGTTAGGGTGTCGTTTAATCAGTTTTTGTGTGTTTGAATCTAAACAATTAGTCGATTTTTGAATGTGGAGCTGCAGCTGACTGAGATGGAGGTGGAGCTGTCGACACGGACAGATCAGAAGAGTGAAGCAGGAAGAAGGCAGAGGTGGAAGAGGAAAACAGTGAGACAGAGTGAGGACTGACGAGGAAGAGGGTTGAGGGGACTACTGGGGATACCAGTCCTCCTGGCGGAACTCGTTGTATTAATCACCAAATATCAACAGTTTTTTTTTGGCGATTAATTGCACTCAATATGATTTTGCCCAACCCTAGCAGGGGGAAATTTTGTACATTTATAATGTGAGTTATCTGAATTTGTGACATAAAAGGATACAACCACTGTGTCAGGACCAGCAGGATAGAGTTTAGCACCCGGTGAAGTCAGCCCAGGACACATGATGTTCGCTCCACTCAAAACAAATTTAATGGCCCCTTTGTCTACTTGCTGATGTGGGAGAATGAAAGGATCTAGAACCACAAACAAACAAACAAACAAAAACATTAAACTATGAGGGCTAGCTATAATTATCTAGAAATGTATATATAAAAAAAGATCTTACATTTATGTAGCAATCTGAGGGTTGGGTAGAATGTTCCCTCTCGCTGTCTGAAGAAAAGAAGTTCTCCGTTCACAGTCAGGATTTCAATGTGTTCATGGCTGGAAGAAATACAGTAAATATAAACTGAAGAGAAAAATAAAATACAATACAAACAGTGATGAGGAGAACTAAATGGTCATACCATCTCACTATTTTGACAGGGTCCTTTTTCGGCATGATTTGGTTAAGCCATGGCTCGATATCAGGAAACTGTTCCAGCAGCTGATTTTTGATGCCTTTGATCACAGATGTTTTCAGCTGGATGCAGTTCGACACATTTTCCTTCTCATCAAATCTGAAAAAAAAAAAAGGTAAACTGGACCTTAAATAAAGAACACTTGAAAACAAATATCTTAATTTAATTCTAAAAATCTGTATTTAACAGTATTTATTAAGAGACTTAATAATTTTAATCTGATGTAAAGTGACTACATCTGATGGTAATTGCTTTAAAGGAATAAAGTTTAAAAAATTAAAAAAATTCCATGAAAACCTGTTTAAAGTGTAATTAACATTTACACAATATACGTGTTAAACTGTCTTCTACAAAACAATAATAAACTTTATGTAGTTTTACTGTCCATTGTTTATAAGTACATGCATTGTTTTAAAAATGTTTAACACCTTCCAGAATCACAAAGATAAAGCAGCTGTGTGATTGTTACAAAGTTACAATTTGTCTTTATGATAAACCTAAAGATTTCATGAGCAAAAAAAAGACAGGTTTGGTCTCAGACTTTGTTTGTCCATCTCTAACACAATGACAAATAATAATAATAAAAAGTACTCGGCCAACATTCAAAACAGCTCATAATTACTGAAAGACACATTTCTACAAGCTCAAGAATGATGCTAAACAGCGCTTAGCATTAGCCGCTAGCTAACACCACCGCACAGAAACGTACTTTTTAAACATCCTGGCTGGTCGCAGTTACCGCCTTCACGAAGTGTGTCAAAGCTTTTCCTAACGCACTGGAACAGGTCGGTTAAAGACAAGATAAAACAAATCACCAAAAATGATTCATATATTCAGTTATGCTGCTGTATTTCCACGCTTATTTAGCACTGTGTGGAGAGATCAGCGGTTTGCGGCATTTTACGACAGTTGACACAACAAGGCGCTTCCTCGCTCTCTCCGGTCACCTAGGTAACGACAGTAACCAAGTTTTCTGCTTTGGGACAAATAACCTTGTTAAAATTGTATCTAAAATGTTGTGTTTTTAAAACTTTAACTTTTTATGTTTTTAAATGTAATCAAACTGTCACGTTAAAGCAGGGGTGTCAAACTCAGGTCCGAGGGCCGCTGTCCCCCTTTCTCTGTTACAACACAGGACATGTGCTGCAGAGACCCCTGCTTGGATTCTCCTCTTCAAATGCTGTAGAAGCCTGTTTATCATCCAGTCATGGAAGTGTTTGAGCAGAGAAACAAGAAAACGTGTTGGATGGTGGCGCTGGAGGATTGGAGCTTGACAAACTCTACTCTCTCAACTATAAAAATGTATGTTTTTTAAAAGTAGCATTTTAAGAAATTCTTAAACTTCAATTAATTTTTAAAATCTTCAAATAAATTAAGTTTAATGTTGCTGTGGCGCCATCTTGTGGTTGAAAGTGGCAAAGCGCCAAAGTGGAACTAAAAAAAAAAAACATTTGTGTAAAAAGTACGTTTGTACTAAGTACTTCCGGTGGGGTCACCAACTAGCTTTTACGAGTGAAATGTATCTCTTGCGAACTAACGACCGTTTAGTTATCATGTGAACTCGTTCTTATTTTACTTTTGATTTATTTCTTTGTAAATAGTTGCTTTTAAACGTCTGCTTCACTAAACCGCTCTCGCTGAACGACTTTACGACTCGGTTTTGTCGCGAGGGAGGTAAAAAAAAAAAGAGGAAGCAATAGCCGACCATCTTTATTCTTCTGCCAGCAATAACAAGAAAGAGACCAGGCTAGACCCAAGTAGCGCCGAGTAGTTAGTTTATTGTCTGTGTTGAATTTGATTTTAAAAAACGCTTTCGGTTAGAATCTGAAGACGGACCCAAGCTCTCGGACAACATTCGCTGCCCTCTGCCTCCTCCTCTCCACCGCGACAAAGTCTGGAAGTTTCGGATCAAGAAGACTGGCTGTGAGGAATTAGTATTCCCGTTTTTTCATGTTTCCAACAGGTTTATCTTCCCCTAACCCCCCACCACCGGCAACCCAGGAGGCCAGACCCGCGACCGCTGATGTCAAAGCCGACAGCGGTAACATCACATCTCCGAAGAAGAGGAAAATAAACGGCTCCGAGAGGGAAGACACCAGCGACACCATCTCCTCTTCTTCCCCCTCCAAGACCCTCAGTTCCTCCTCTTCGTCGTCCTCCTGCTCCCCAACCCCGCTGCACATCCAGAAGAAGTTGAGGTTCGAGGATTCGGTGGATTTAATCGGACTGGATGTGAAAATGGCCGAGGAGGCTGCCGCCGCCGCCGCCGCCGCGTCGTGCTCCAACAACAAAAGCAAAGCCATGTTCCTGGCCGGCGGCGTGGGCCACCACGCGAACGGACTGACGAAAACCGCAGGATCCGCCACCTTCTCCAGCAGCAAACCCGGCGCTGCCAAGAAACTAGTCATCAAGAACTTCAGAGGTACTGCTGGGTGATGGGGGCGTCCAAAAACCCTGCAAAAATAATCCAGATCCTGCAGCCGAACATTTAATAGAAAACATCTCAGATGTGCAGATTAGATTATGTTTGCTGACACACAACATGTACAACTAAAACAATAGGAAGAGATAAACAAATAAGACTTTCTAATGCTGTGAAAAAGATCAAGCTATGTTAGTGCAGTTATTTTTAAATATTACAGTAAATATCAATTGAAAAATCTGCTTAATAAGTAAAATATTTAACATTTAAACAGAGACCAACACTGCAGCAGAGAGGTCAAAATCTGTTCTCCAATGAGGCCAAAATTCAAAAATTAGTCCAAGCCAAGAGCCACGTTTTGTCAATTTTTTTAAAATTAATGCAGTACTACAAATAATTTTTTATAGAAGTACAAATTACCTTTTCTAAATTATGCTATATATGTAGCATTTAAAAAATACTTAACCTAACACATTTCAAAACATTATTAAATTTAGAAAGACACATCGTTAACATTTGTTTATGCCCCACATTTATCAGCTTTTTCATTTCTAAGAGATACATTTTATTGCAATCCAGCAAATCGGGTAAAAAGAAAAGAAAACTTTCACTAAAAACCCAATTATTTGACGTTAAAATAAGAAAATAAGGCAACAAAAAACCCAACGGAAACAAAGATTCAAAAAAAAAAAAAAA